GGTCTCAGTATAATGCCCATGGTGGTCTTCAAATCCTGTTCTTATGTGATCTTCCTGAAAGCCTCCATAGAAGTTGAAAATATAGACACTGAGCTTTGCTCTGTTTCCCATTTTTAAATAAAAAACATGTTAATAGTAAACAGCATTCTTATATGTCCAGCAGGTGCTTTTAAGAATATCTTTCTGTTGATTTATCTTCTCTCTCTTCTGATTAAACTACTTTCACTGGTAATTAACTCATAAATATTATATGTAATATGTAACACATATATGCATGATTTTTTATTTTAATTGCAAGACGGCTTCAAATTTGAAACACCTGTGTCCACTAATTTGTCCAATGTCCTGCTATCACCTCATTAAATAAACCCTTCTAGATTAATTCAACTACCAATAATCTAGAGCTTTCCCAGTCATTCCAGTATTCTGGAAAAGTCTCTTGTTAATTCTGAATGTTAATAGTTGGGTTCCATTTAATCAAGGTTTTAATATAGTTTTAGATGTACAATAGTACTCCATGTTAAGTGGAGTTCCTAATCCCACAACAGAGTCATGAAAAATAAAATATGCTCCCTCCTGGAAATAAACTGTTGATGTATTTGAAATAATTATCATGGAAAAGTAACAATTTCTGAAAATTGCCCTCCTAGGTATTTTACCTCTGATGGTAAGCCTCATATTTTAGGAGAATACTCTGTTTAGCTATATACCTCCACCGTAATATTGAGACTATCTACAATGTATAGCACTTTTGCAGTTCTCTCAATGGAAATAGACAGGAAGCAAGATGAAGACTCTGAGGATAAGATTTAACCAGCCTCCCACTTGGAAGCATGAATAATGCCAGTACAGCTCTGAGCTGAGCCTGCTGCTTTGCAGAACAGAACAATGACACTTTCCTATTTTTCACTGTGTACAGAACAGCACCCAGGGCAGTGATCTGTGCAGAAATGAACACGGCTTCTAATGAAGCAGACATAAGACTAGAGAAATGTTTGTACATCATTTATATATTCAACTTTTCAGAATTAGCAACTAAAATAACAAAAATCTTCCTTCTCAATGGAGTGTGGTGGCATATGCTTAGAATCCCAGCACTGGGGAGGCAGAGGTAGGTGGAGATCTGTGAGACTGAGGCCAGCCTTGTTTCCATAGCTAGTTCCAGGTCTGCTGGGATTAGAGGGAAACCCTGTGTAAAAAAGACAAATAAAAACAATCTTCTTTTTAGTATAAGACTATTGATGATCTTTTATGCTCATTAAGTAGACCTCTCAACATTTTTCCTGTAATTTATTGACTTGCTGCATTTTTTCACGTACACTCAATGTCTAAGTGCTGTTTAAGGACTTTCTTAAACACAGGCCAGCATAACACGTTTTCTTACGATGAATGTTTTTAGTTTAATAGAAAATATTAACTTAATTTGATTTCCCAACTAATTCAGTTTTTGTGCCCCTCCCTTTGTGCTCTTTAGGACCACCTCAGAAAACAGTGTCACCTAAACAAGAACATGAAGACAGGAAGCACGACAAAGTAACAGATAAAGGAAGTGAGAGTGGGACTTCCTGCAATGAGCTCTCCACATCCAGCTGTGACAGCCACTCAGAGGCCAGCACTCCCCAGGACAACCAGCCCAACGCACAGCAGGCTGCAGCTCACCAGCCCAACACCTTAACCTTGGATCGCCCCTCCAAAAAGGCACCTGTGCAGTGGATGCCACCACCAGACAGACGCAGAAACAGTGAACTCTTTCAGTCACTCATTAGCAAGTCCCGAGAAACAAATCTTTCAAAAAAGAAAGTCTGTGAGAAGCTAAGTGTAGAAGAAGAAATGAAAAAGTGCATTCAGGATTTTAAAAAAATCCACATTCCAGATTGTTTTCCAGAGCGCAAACGCCAGTGGCAATCTGAACTGCTCCAAAAGTACGGGCTATAGTAGTGGTCGCATTCCTGTGCTGTTTTAATGGCATTTGATGTTTACTACGATCTCACCACCTGACTCATGGTCAGTGTGATTTATTGCTGCTCTTCCTTTTTGTGAACAGTGGATGTGGGACAGTACTTTCTTTTCATTATTTTCATTGTTTTTAGAAACATAATTTTAAACGAAACCAATTAATGTGTGGCAAAATGGTGTACCATTCTGATTCAAGCCATTTTCTAAAAATGAAAGTAAAATGTGCATGATCAAAAAACTTAGAATCTTATTTTTGAACTGTGATCTACTGGACATGTTCATCATTTTGTAACTCATCAAAGAACAAATCTGCATATCACACCAACTCAGATGACAATATGGATGAAGCAACATCAAGTAAAATTTTAGATGGTTTTAGGACACAAATCTACAACTGTTTAAATGCTAATGCAATAAAACAAGTATTATTTTTGCATGAACACAATGTTACAAATAATTCACAAGAAATAGGAAGATTTGATC